AAAAAAAAAAAAGAAGAAAAGTTGGGTGGCAACTGTGGCTCAAAGGAGTGGGGGTGTGGCCCCATATACCGGAGGTGGTGGGTTCAAACCTGGTCCCATCCAAAACTGCGGGGGTGGGGTGGGGTGGGGGGGTGGCAGGGGGAGGTACCTGCAGAAGCAGCTAAGATTTTGAAAAAGAACAGAAAAAGCTGGCAATTTGGAATTGTCATAAAATTCCCAGTGTTTCAAAGCAGCTATACAATTAAAACACGTGATTTTAGAGTACGTTTCTATTGTCTGATGTAATTCTGCCAGCGCAGTTGTATGCTATATGTTATTGCATGCCTGATTCACATAATTCATATTTACTATAATAGTCTGTATACAGACTATGCACATTTTACTTTTGGGGTGACTTAAAGGACTCTTAATCTAACAGTGATGTTATTTTAAATAGTTTTGAAAATGAAAATCTTAAAAAACAAGCAAACAAATAAACAAACAAATAAATAAGCAAAGCTTTTCCTGTCTCGGCAAGTAGTAGGATATAATGTAATGTTTTCTTGACACAAGGGTCAGCAAAATAGACTATTACTAGTCATTCTATAGGTTTTTTTTACAAATGAATCTCCTTAAAATATCACATTTACCTTTTTGTCTATCTATCCACACTCTTAAGACCCTAGGCAGAAATGTGGATCTCATTTCTTTTCCCCTTGATTATATCACACTCACAAAGATCTCTCATAAGATGGCATTTTTCTTTTCACTTTCTACTCACCTTTTTATTTTTTTTTTGGAGACAGTCTCACTATGTTGCTCCTGGTAGATTGCTGTGGCATCACAGCTCACAGCAGCCTCAAACTCTTCAGCTTAAGCCATTCTCTTGCCTCAGCCTCCTAAGTAGCTGGGACTACAGGTGCTTGCCCACAATGCTCGGCTACTTTTACTTGCAGTTGTCATTGTTGTTTAGCAGGCCCAGGCCAGGTTCAAATTTGCCACCCTCAGTGTATGTGGCTGGCGCCATAGCCACTGTGCTATGGGCCCCAAGCCCTTCTATTCACCTTTTCTCTACAAATTCCCACTTATCAAAATTTATGTCAAGTCCTACCCTCCAATCTCTATAAGGTCAGAGATGGGCAATTTTCTTTTCTATGCTAGCAACTGTTGGACGGGGCACAGTGGCTGATGTCTAACCTGGAGATTTCTGCTCCACAAAGGTGGAGGCCTGGATGGAGGATAGAAACTCAGAGGGGAGAAGAGGAAACAGAGAACAAGAGAAGATGTTGAATTTTATCTTTCTGGGGTAGGGCAAAGGTCTTGAATCTCAGCACTGCTGCTTACTAGTTGTACGAGCTTGGCTGATGTAATTCTTACCTGTACTCCACATGCCACATGATTGTTTTGAGCATTAAATGAGAAATATATATATAAGGACTGTCATGGAATAGTTGATCTATAAATGTTAGCCTGTTTCTCCTTTCTTGTGCTTTGTATTTATTTTATATTCTAGCTTCTCAGAAGGCATGAACTTTTTTTTTTTTTTTCTGAGACAGAGTCTGGCTCTGTTGCTATGGATAGAGCTGGAGTGGGTGGCATCATCCTAGCTTATTGCAACCTCAAAATCCTGGGCTCGAGTGATGGTCCTGCCTCAGCCTCCTGAGGAGCTGGGACTACAGGAGTGCCCCATGGTGCTGGGCTGATTTTTCTGTTTTTAGTAGAAACAGGGTCTTACTCTTGCTCTAATTGCTCTGCCACTCTGAGCTCAGGTGATCTTTCAGCTTCAGCCTTACAGAGTGCTAGGTTCACAGGCATGAGCCACTGCACTCGACCAACTTCCTTATCTTTTTTATTTTTAGAATGTCAATTTTTATTTTATTTTCTCTATACATATACATGTGTTTATTTGGTTTCCACTTTTTGCCTTCACAAAATTAAAAAGGCTTAAAATTTAATAACAATAACAATGTTTAAGATAAGGACTAGAAACAAAAAACCTCGTAAAGAACCAATGAAGATAAATACATTCAGAAAAGAAATCAGATGATTGCTGCAATGAAATATTGAGCAATAATAATAATAATAATGCAAAAAAAAGTAAAAATAAAAAGAGAAGTTAACTGATGACTCCATGCTGAACCTCAGAGTCAAAGCTTTCTATGATAGACATACTCTTAGCTGACAATGTGAATGTTACTTTTTGTTTATCTTTTTTTAACTGTCTTACATAATATTGTATTTAATAGCATGGAGAGTAAATGACTTTTGCAATACTGAAGGCTAATAAAAGCCATTAAAAATGAACATTAAAATTTATTGAAATACATATTTTAAATAATGCGGCAATGCTTATTTATTTTTTATTTATTTATTTTTTTGAGACAGAGCCTCAAGCTATTCCCCTGGGTAGAGTGCCATTGCATTACAGCTCACAGCAACCTCCAACTCCTGGGCTCAAGCGAGTCTCCTGTGAGTCTCCTGCCCCTGCCTCCCAAGTAGCTGGGACCACAGGCGCCTGCCCGCCACAACGCCTGGCTATATTTTGGTTGCAGCCATCATTGTTGTTTGGTGGCCGGGGCTGGAGTCAAACCCACCACCTTAGGTGTATGTGGCTGGCGCCTTAGCTGTTTGAGCCACAGGCATTGAGCCAACAATGCTTATTTTAAAATAATTGAGTAATGTCAGAAGATAAATTCTTTTCTTACCTTATTGCTACAGAAAGTGAAGTCATCCTTTAGCACTTCAGGATTACAAAATCTGTAGAGAAGGGTCTTCAGGCATCGCTTGTCCCAGCTGTCAGTCACCCGGCCACCATAAATCACTTCCCCAATCAGGTAGCGCAGTGCTTTCCATGGAATACCAGGGAACCGGCTCAGGGAATTGTCCAACACCTTTATCGAAACCTTTATAAAATCCACCAGTCTCTATTATTTCAGTATGTTTTCAACTTACTCTGATGTTTTAACGTCAACTCTCAAATAGGCATAGATATTTTCTCTTTAAATATATGGAAACTATACATTTCTTTCTTTCTTTCTTTCTTTTTTTTTTTTTTGGCCAGGGCTGGGTTTGAACCTGTCACCTGTGGTATATGGGGCTGGCACCCTACTCCTTGAGCCACAGGTGCACCCGAAACTATACATTTCTTGTTAAATTTGTTCCTGAGTATTTAAAATTTTTCATCACTATTATGAAAGTACCATTTTGCTGATTTCAATTTCTAGGTAGATGTTCATGATTACTGAAAAGTAATTGATTTTTATACTTTTATCTAGTTATTTTGCCAAATTCTCTAATTAATGGATTGTTTTTACTAGTCTCTTAGATTTTCTAGATATATAATTATATTACAACTAAAAGATAGTTTTCTCTCTTCTTATTCTCTTTTACACTGTTAATATGAATTATGTAATTTTTTTCCTCATTGCATTTTGTAGAACTTCTAAGACACTGTTGAATGATAATGGTGGCAATGAGTATCCTTGTTTGATTTTTTATTTTATTTAAAACAACTTCAGTATTTGACAACTTAGAATGATATTCACTGTTGTTTTTTGATGGCCTTTGTCATATTTAAGTAGTTCCTTTTAATTTTATTTGAGTTTTTTAAAAATTTAAGAATGGGTCCAGAATTCATAATTAATGTCTTTTCTATATCTATTGAGATGATCATACAGATTAGGATTATGGATGTCTAGTTATTTGGCCATTTCTGCATTCCTGGAATAAATCCAACTTGGTTATAATGCATTTTTTTATAAATTGCTGAAATCTATCAATATTTTATGTAGAATTTTTATAACTCAAGTGCTAAGTAAAATTAGTTTATAGTTCTTATGTATATTATCTTTTTTTTTTTTTTTTTGGACAGAGCCTCAAGCTATCCCCCTGGGTAGAGTGCTGTGGCTTCACAGCTCACAGCAACCTCCAGCTCCTGGGCTCAAGCGAGTCTCCTGCCTCAGCCTCCCAAGTAGCTGGGACCACAGGCGCCCGCCACAACGCCCAGCTATTTTTTGGTTGCAGCCGTCATTGTTGTTTGGTGGATCTGGGCTGGATTCAAACCCGCCACCTTAGGTGTATGTGGCTGGCGCCTTAGCCACTTGAGCCACAGGCGCCGAGCCATGTATATTATCTTTAAATAATTATGTTGGTTTCACAAAATAAACCTGAGAGGTCTGGAATATTTTAATATGATAACTATCTGTTAAAGTTTAAAATGAAGCAAGCTACAAAACCATCACATTTGCATTTTTTTATGGCAATTAATCTACCCCAAATTTTCATTTATTTTTGAGTCAATTTTGATAATTTATATTTTCTAGGAAATCAAGTTCATCTAGATTTTCAAAGTTTGTCTTATCAAAAGCCAATTTTTGAATTTATTTTTTCTTTTTGCTTTTTGAATATATTTTATCAGTATGAGATTTTATATTTATCCTTTTGGGTTTTAATTATTTATTATTAATTATTTCAAGACAGTGTCTTGCTCTGTTGCCTAACCTAGAATGCGGTGGCATCTCATCATAGCTCACTGCAGCTCCAGACTCCTGGCTCACATGATTATCCTGCCTTTGTCTCCTGAGCAACTGAGATTACAGCCACAGGCCACCATGTTTTGCTAATTTTTAAAATTTTTATTCTAGAGACAGGGTCTTGCTATGTTGCCCAGGCTGGTCTTGAACTTCTAGTCTCAAGCAATGCCCACTGTGTTGGCCTCCCAAAGTGCTGTGATTACATGTGTGAGCCACTGTACCTGATCTTTTATTCTTTTTTAGTTTATTTTGTTGTTTCCTTTTCTTGTATTTCTTCTTTAGTAATAAAGACATTTAAGGCCATAATTTTTTATATGAGTATAGCTTTTGTATTGATATGCCCTTTTTGATATGAAACAGTCTCACTTCCATTGTGTTTGATATTTTGTAACTTCTTTAATATCCTTTTGACAAAAGGTTATCTAAAGACATGCTACTTAGTTTTCAAGGTAAGATTTTTTGAGGGTCAAATTTTTATTATTTATTAGATTGTGATCAGAGAATGTGGCCCACAACATTGTCAAGGATTTCTCTTTCTGTCTATGTTCATGACTGAGTTTTGTAACAGTTTCTTGGATATCTGAAAAAATATATATTCTCTGTTGAAGGAATGTTAGTCAATTTCATATTGATCTGTTAATCAATTTTGTTGACTATATTTTTCTATTATTTGTTTTATTTTTGGTTATTAGAACTGTCCAACCAGATGGAATTCTTTTTAAAATTTTCTATAATAATTACCTATACATATATATGTGTACATGTACATATGTTTGTGTTTATATATGTATATGCATAAATATATGTATATGCTACATAGCTCCCAACTTTTTGGCACCAGGGCCCAGTTTCATGGAAGACAATTTTTCCATTAATTAGAAAAGGGAGGGCCTTAATGATTCTCATAAAGTGCAGTCAACCTAGACCTCTAGCATAATTTATAGTAAGGTTTGTGTTTCTTTTTCTTTTTTTTTTTTTTGAGATAGAGCCTCAAGCTGTCCCCCTGGGTAAAGTGCTGTGGCATCGAAGCTCACAGCAACCTCCAACGGCCTGGGCTCAAGCGAGTCTCCTGCCTCCGCCTCCCAAGTAGCTGGGACTACAGGTGCCCGCCACAACGCCTGGCTATTTTTTGGTTGCAGCCATCATTGTTGCTTGGAGGGCCGGGCTGGATTCGAACCCACCACCTTAGGTGTATGTGGCTGGTGCCTTAGCCACTTGAGCCACAGGCACTGAGCCAAGGTTTGTGTTTCTATGAGAATCTAATGCTGCTGCTGATGTCATAGGAGGTGGAGCTCAGCTAGTGATGTAAGTGAGGGGGAGTGGCTGTAAATACAGATGAAGCTTTGCTTGCTCACCTGCCTTTCACCTTCCTTTTTTTTTTTTTTTTTTTTTTTGAGACAGAGCCTCAAGCTGTCCCCCTGGGTAGAGTGCTGTGGCATCACAGCTTACAACAACCTCTAACTCCTGGGTTCAAGTGAGTCTCCTGCCTCTGCCTCCCAAGTAGCTGGGACCACAGGCGCCTGCCACAACACCTAGCTACTTTTTGGTTGCAGCTGTCATTGTTGTTTGGTGCTCGGGCTAGATTTGAACCTGCCACCTTAGGTGTATGTGGCTGGCACCTTAGCCACTTGAGCTGCAGGCGCCAAGCCCCTTTCACCTTCTGCTGTGCAGCTTGATTCCTAACAGGACATGGACTGGTACCAGTCCAAATCCTGGGGGTTGGGGACTGCAGTGCTTACAATGAGCTATTGTCTCACAAATGTAGATTCATATTGTATAATGACTGAGGCTACAAACTCTGAAGCCAGGCTATTCAGGATTGAATTATGCCTGTTCTACTTGCTAATTAGGCAAGTTACTTAATCTCCCTGTATTGTGACAGTGAAATGAGGATAATACCTTTTTGAGCAGGTGTGGTGGCTCACGCCTATAATCCCAACACTTTGGGAGGCTGAGGTGGGAGGATTATTTGAGGCCAGGAGCTTGAGACCAGTCTGGGCAACAGAGAGATAGCCCATTTCTACAAAAAATTAAAAAATTAGGAGCGGGCATATGCACATATAGTCCCAGTTACTTGGAGAGGGGGGCTGAGTCAGGAGGATTGCCTGAGCCCAGGAGTTCAAGGTTGTAGTGAACTATGATCATGCCACAACACTCCACTTGGGGCAACATAGTGAGACTCTATCTCTTTAAAAAAAAAATACTACCTTATTTTCAAGGTCCTATTGTAAGGACTAATTACTCCATAAAGCCTGAGAGTAAGCATAGAGAGTAAACTCTATAAATGTTAACCATTTTCAGGACCATTACATATTCTTTATCAATTGTTTTTCTCCTATTTGCCATTTTTCACCTTAAATTCTACTTTGCCTGATATTAATATTGCCATCCTTGCATTATCCTATTTTTATTTTCTTGGTAGTTTCAAGCTTTCTTTGTTAATTTAGGTGTTTTTCTTATAATATATCTGGGTTTTGTTTTTTTTAACCCAGTTTAATAGTTTTTTTTTAATGAGGGGAGGTAGTCAATTTATACTTAATACAAGAGCTATAATTTCTTCCACTTTGATTTATGTTATTATTTTACTTTGTTGTCTCATACTTTCCCTCTTAGTTTTGATAGTTTTATCAAATTATTATTTCTTTTTTTTTTCTTCATTGTTAATATAGACATTATGCTGCTTCCTTTAAAGGCTATTTTTCCTTTCCTTGAATCCATTTCTCTATTCAAATGGAAAGAAGATATCAATTATTTACCTATCAAATGTCTAATATATAGCGTAAATATTTCCTGCATGGTACTGTTTACCTTTTGATTGAGCTTTGAATAGCTGGACAGAAGCATGCTTGAACTCATATCCTTTGACAGATACCCAAAGAGCCATGTTAGATACCCAAAAGATATCTGGGTATCTGGGTATCTTTGTCAGATACCCAAAGAGTCTTATGCCATGTCCTTGTTGGGTGTGGAACCATATACTGTGATAGGAAATTGAGCCGGCAGTGACAGCCTCTTGTGAAAATTAAAAAGCCTAATGGATACATATAGAGGACACAGAAAGCTACTCATCTAGGAGAGGTCTAGGTGATAGAGACTCTGAGGCAGAATCAAAGTTTTCCTCTGAAAGTTAAGTCCGTCTGACATATAAATCAATGGTAATCAAGGGCGACATGTTATGCACTGGAGGCAGAATTCAAATTAACCTGGGAAAGATTTAAACAGGTACTGCTTTGTGTCTATTTTAGCAATAATGAAAACACCAATAATAAAACACAAATAGAAGGCTCTATATACAGAGTGGTAAAGAAAGACTATTAAGCTAAACTTTCACCCTCCCACAATGGGCCAATGTAATCTTGCTTGCTTTAAAAGAATAGATGATGCTGACAAATGGTTCTTTGGAGCCAGCACTGATTATCTGTCTCCCTTGTCCTGCTTTTTTTTTTTTTTTTTTTTTAGCCAAAGAAACTAAGAGATTAATTAGTTTGCCTGAGAGATTAAATACTTATATAACTATAAGTGTTGGCACTGTAATTTGATTTCAGAAAAGCTGGCTTCAAAGTTTGTTTTTAAACATTAACTCTTTATTGCCTTATTACAGAGTTCTTTCTCTTACCACTATATAAAACACTTAGTATTTGTGTATTAGTATTAGTTTTAGATACATAATAGGCTCTCAGTTTATATATTACTGTTATTTATTTATTACTGCTTATTTTGAAGAGACTATACTTACCTCCAAGTCTGAAGCATTAAATTTATAAATAATATTCCAGCCCAATATTCCATAATTTTTTCTTTCATTGATCACAGCATTGAAAAAACATAGGCTGAATAAAAGCTTTTTCCACCATTCTCCACAGTCACGTTTTTCAAATAACTCTTCTGTTACCTCTCCACTTCCAGTGAATCCAAATGTTTGAAGTAAATTACTTTTCAACCCCTGGGGAGGTTCTACAGCAATCTTTAAAACAGATGTGAATAAAAATGACATATGAGGACAGATGTAGGCGTTGGTTCAGTAGGGACTCTTCTTTGTATAGCACTGGTAAAAAAACTAGCTAAGAATGTTAACTGTTCAAGATTCACTGGCAAATCAAAATGTTTTTTTTTTTCTTTGAAAACTTCTATGAAACAATTGTTCCAGATTTTCTACTGTTCCAATTTTTATTTTATCTCATTTTATTTATTTTTTGAGACAGAGTCTCACTATGTCACCCTCAGTAGAGCAACATGGCATCTCAGCTCACAGCAATCTCAAACTCTTGGGCTTAAGTGATTCTATTGCTTCAGCCTTTGAGGCTGAGGACTACAGCCCCCCCACAACCCTGGCTGTTATTCTGTTGCAATTGTCATAGTTGTTTAGCAGGCCTGGGCCAGGCTCCAACCAGCCAGCCTTGGTGTATGTGCTTGGCTCCCTACTCAATGAGCTACGGGTGCTGACCCCCAATTTGTATTTTAAAATAGGAAGTAGAACATTATTATTAAAAGAATTCCTGTTTGTTCTAAATATAGGGTTTGGGAAGCACAGCAGTTTAGAAAGTTTGACAATGAAGAGATTCTGTAGTCTAAACTTGTATGTCAAGGCAACTAAGTTGCAAGGCAACGGATATCAGAATCAGAGGTTGCAAGGCCTCAGCAAGGCAGCAGATGTAGGGGGCACCAAATTATAACAGAAAAACTGAGCTAACAAATGTGTTGAGTCATCATTGCTATTAAAAATGAGAAAAGCTAATTGGGTGTTACACTAAGTTATTTTACTTGCCTTGAAAATCCATTTGGTTGATTTCTTAACTAGGATAATTGAAATGAGAGATTGGGGGTTGAGTGGGGAGAGAATCAATTGGAGGGCTTTTGAGATAATGTGGCCGTTAAGTCTGAAAATGTGAGGGGTCTGAAATGTTATCCTATTTGCACAGTTCATATACATATATATATATATATATAAATGTACACACATACATAAAAGTAGCTAAGAATAAAGCTATTCTCAAGATTCATTGGTAAATCAAAAAATCTTGTGTTATTTTTATTATATACATTGTACATATATTATCAAAATTACCTTACTTTCTGGGTTAATATCTTTCTGATATTACTTTGTCAGCATTATATGAGAATAGTTATTCATAGTACCTTTAATAGCAGCACTAACTTTACCACAACTATTTATAGTTTTTGCCAAGTTATTGGGCTATCAAAGGATTTGTATCTCTCTGATAGCTAGAAGCTGAACTTTTAATTTTTTCATGTTACTGACTTCTTGGGACCTTTGCCCATTTTTTATGGGATGTTAATGTTTTCCTTAATTATTTGTAGGTCCTTTTATTTGTATATTAAGAAAATGATTATCTCTGTCCGTAAGTAGTCGTATAGGAAAAACTCCCTTAAGCCAGGAATGGTGGTATGTACTTATAGTCCCAACTGCTTGGGAGGATGAAGTGGGAGGCAGATTGAGCCCAGGGGTTGGAGGCTATAGTGTGCAATGATTCAGCACCTGTGAATAGCCACTGCACTCTAACCTGGGAAACATAGTAAGACCCTGTCTCTCAAAAACTAACAAAAACCCCACAAAAAACTCCCATAACATTTTATACATGCACTAATGCATTCATTATAACTACATTAAAATGCTTACATTGATGGACACAAAGTGGAATTAGGTCAATGGGCCTACGTACCATGAAATGTCTTAAATGTCATTATTCCCCTGCTCCCACTACTTTTATCTCCCAAAGTCCCCACTTCTGGCCAGACATAAATGGCCAGAGTTTGATGTTGGAAGATAAGTGGAAGGCCTTGAGTCTTAGACTATGAGTTGTGGGTTTCTCCAATCAATCCATGTGCTGTCTTCTTCGGGAGCAAGGTTGTTGGGAAGCGGTTCAGTATTGCCAGTTTAGGTACATGTATTTAGGAGACAGGGAAGAGGTGGGAGCAGTGTGACAGGAAGTTTCTTAGTTTTCCAAGAGTGAATCTGATTTACTCTCGGGCTAGATTAGGACTCTGTCAGAAAAGTGCCCCATCCACCTGATTTCTTGTGCCAATTATGTTACAGTTGCAAGTGTGTATATGCTCATGTGTCTGGGCACAGCATTCTGCCCATGCCATTGGTCAGTTTTCTCTGCTATTAGGACTTCAGCTGGTCACTTGTTTAACAGAATTGACTAAGTCTTAGTATTTATTCAACCTTGATGGTGGATATGAATAGAAGTCACAGATAAATCCTTAGTTACGACATTTTTGTAAATAATTCTAATCTAATTTCTGCCAGACTCATAATAACTGTAATATGTATGGTTAAGGGGAACAGAGAGAAGGAAAAAGCTAGAGAAGTGATGGATAGGAAAAGGTCACAAATCACATATTTTATAACAATTAGAAGCCTAGCATTCTTATTTGAGAAAACAAACATCTAAACTGTGAATTACTTGGAAGCAGGGATCTACTTTGGCATTCTCCCTGGTCTGCAGTATAGGGCTACGTACAAAGCATACATCTAGTCCTCTCTTTTAAATTCAGAGTTATGAATGCAAGATGAGGTACATTCAAACAGGAGTTCTTAGTCAATATTAAAATCCATTATACTTTGTTCTTACCTTTAAACTCATTTGAAGAATGGGAATCGGAAAAGAACCATCTGATTTTGAGCTTAACCATAGTCTGAAATCAGGGTCTACTGTCAGAGCTGGATTATTCAATCTGCAAAATAAAAAGTCTATAAATATTTTACAGTGAAAAATGTAAACACCAACATGTTCTCAGAGTCACACCATTTCAGTGCTTGAGGTGACCTTATAAATCATTTTAATGTGAAAGATCTTATTATATTACTATATGAGCCTTTATGTGGAAGCCTTCATGATTTATTTATAAATAGATTATAATCTATTGAATAAAACAGAGACCAATGAGTCCATATTGATATAAATAAATAAGTAGATGGAAGAAACGGAAAACCTCTTTCTTATAGTGGAACATCATTAAATAAATGTTAAGGAATTGTGGAGTTAGAAAGCCACCATTTGGCAAATTAGTATTTGGTAATAATTTAGTCAAAAATTATCAATGGATGTTTAAGCTAGTGAGTAGAAGTTTGAAATATATACATGGTCTGAAAGATCCCACAAGTGGAAGATACCACTTTAATCAAATAGTCTGATTAATTTCACCAGCAATGAACTAGATTGATACCATTTGCCTCTTTTCTTGTTGATATGTTTTATTTTTTAAATTTTTAGTTCAAATTAATATAAGGGTACAAATGTATAGGTTACATTATTTTCATTTCTAAGGTAAAGTTCAAGTTCTAGTTGATCCCTTTGCCGAGGAGGCATGCTGAACACCTTCACATTGTGCACATTAGGTGAGATCCCACCGATTGCTCTCCCTCCCTCTTCCTCTCCTCTCCTGCCTCTCCCCTTCACTAGACTAGATTTGTGTTTTTCCTTCATGTGGGTGTGTAGTTGTTTAAATGTTGGTTTCATATTAGTATTGAGTACGTTGGATACTTTCCCCCCTGTTCTTGTGATACCTTACTAAGAAGAATGTGTTTCAACTCCATCCAGGTAAACACAAAAGATGTAAAGTTTATGGCTAAATAGTACACCATGGTATACAAATACCACAGTTTGTTAATCCATTCATGGGTTGATGGGCACTTGGGTTGCTTCCACGTCTTGGCAATTGTAAGCTGAGCTGCAATAAACATTCTAGTGCAAATGTCCTTGTGCTAAAATGATTTTTTTCTTCTAGGTAGATACCTAGGACTGTGGGATCAAATGGAAGATCAACTTTTAGTTCTCTGAGAATTCTCCATACCTCTTTCCACAGACATTGTATTAGTTTGCAATCCCACCAGCAGAGTAGAAGTGTTCCCTTCTTGCCACATCCACACTAGCATCTGCAGTTTCAGGATTTTGTGATGTAGGCTAATCTCACTGGGGTAGGTGATATCTCAGAGTGGTTTTATTTTTTTTATTTACTTATTTTTTAATTAATTACTTTTTGTTAAATCATAACTTTGTACATTGATGCATTTATGAGGTTCAGGGTACTGCTTTGATATATAATGTGAAATGTTTACATTGAACTAACACATCCATCACAATTATACTTATTTCTTAATAGTTTTGAAATGTACCATTGCATCATGCACATTAGATGAGGTCCCCCAAATACCCTCCCTCTTCCCATATTCCCCCTCCCCTCCCCTCTCTTTCCTCTTCCCTTCTGCTTTCTGGACTATAGTTATGTTTTGCCATTCGTATGAGTGTGAGGTGGTTATATATTGATTTCATAGTAGTATTGAGTACACTGGATACTTTTTTTCCCATTCTTGAGATACTTTACTAAGAAAAATATGTTCCAGCTCCATTCAGGTAAACATAAAAGATGTGAAGTCTCAATCTTTTTTATGGCTGCATAGTATTCCATGGTGTACATATACCACAATTTGTTAATCCATTCATGGGTTGATGGGCACTTGGGCTGTTTCCATGTCTTGGCTATTATGAATTAGGCCGCAATAAACATTCTGGTGCAAATGTCTTTGTTGTAAAATAATTTTTGATCATCTGGGTATATACCTAGTAGAGGAATTGCAGGATCAAATGGTAGGTCTACTTTTAGTTCCTTGAGTGTTCTCCAAACTTCTTTCCAAAAAGGTCATATTAGTTTGCATTCCCACCAGCAGTGTAGAAGAGTTCCCTTCTCTCTGCATCCACGCCAACATTGATAATTTTGGGATTTTGTGATGTGGGCTAATCTTACTGGAGTTAGATGATATCTCAAAGTGGTTTTGATTTGTATTTCTCTGATAATTAAGGATGACGAGCATTTTTTCATGTGTTTATAGGCTATACGCCTGTCTTCATCAGAGAAGTTTCTGTTCAAATCTCTTGCCCACATAGAAATGGGATTATTTATTCTTTTCTTATTGATTAATTTGAGTTCTCTGTAGATTTTAGTTATCAGACCTTTGTCAGAAGCATAACCTGCAAAAATCTTCTCCCATTCTGAAGGTTGTCTGTTTGCTTTACTTACTGTGCTCTTGGCTATGCAAAAGCTTTTTAGTTTGATCAGATCCTAGTAATGGATTTCTGGTGTTGCTTCAATTGCCTGGGGGGGGGTCCTCCTCATAAAATATTCTCCCAGGCAATTTCTTCAAGTGTTTTCTCTGCACTCTCTTCTAGTATTTTTATAGTTTCATGTCTTAAGTTTAAGTCTTATATCCAGTGAGAATCAATTTTTGTTAATGGTGAAAGGTGAGGGTCCTTCAGTCTTCTACAGGTTCACTCAGCACCATTTGTTAAATAGAGAGTCTTTCCCCCACTGAATATTTTTGATAGGCTTGTTGAAGATCAAAGGATGATAAGCAGCTAGGTTCATCTCTTGGTTCTCTATTCTGTTACATAAATCTACTGTTCTGTTTTTGTGCCAGTACCATGCTGTTTTGATCACTATAGATTTATAGTATAGCCTGAAGTCTGGTAATGTGATACCTCGAGATTTATTCTTATTTCTGAGTAATGTATTTGCTATTCACGGTTTTTTCTGATACCATATAAAATGAAGTACTATTTTTCAAGTAAGACAATGGTGCTTTAATAAGGATTGCATTAAATCTGTAGATTGCTTTGGGTAGTATGGACATTTTAACAATGTTGAGTCTACCCAGACATGAGCATGGTGTGTTTTTCCATTTGTTAGCATCTTCAGCTATTTCTTTTCGCAGAGTTTCATGTCCTCTGTTAGGTAAATTCCCAGATATTTCATCTTCCTTGACACTATTGTAAAAGGAATAGAGTCCTTGATTGTTTTTTCAGCTTGACAATTGTTGGCGTATAGAAAAGCTACTGATTTGTAAGTATTGATTTTTTATCCTGAGATGCTGCTGTATTCCTTGATCACTTCTAAGAGTTTTGAAGTTGAGTCCCTGAGATTTTCCAGGTACAGGATCATTTGATCATCACTGAAGAGTGAGAGTTTGATCTCCTCTGACTCTATTTGGATACCCTTGATTGCCTTCTCTTGCCTGATTGCAATAGCTAAGACTTCCATTACTATGTTAAATAGCTGTGGAGACAGTGGGCATCTTTGCCTCATTCCTGATCTGAGTGGAAATGTTTTCAATTTTACACCATTCAATATGATTATTGGCTGTAGGTTTGCTGTAAGTGGCCTCTATCAGTTTAAGAAATGTCCCTTCTATGCCTATTTTCTTAAGAATTCTGATCACGAAAGGATCCTGGATATTATCAAAGGCTTTTTCTGCATCAGTTGAGAGAATCATATGGTCTTTGTTTTTTATTTTATTGAT